CGCTGCAGTAACTTATTCACATGCTTTTCAAATCTCAAGTTAGAATCCATTGTTACTCCTAGATTTCGTGCTTCCTCTACCATCACAAGCTGTTCATTATTAATATTTATATTGATGGAGTTGAAAACATTCTCGCGGTGGTTTCTACTACCAAACAACATAACTTTGGATTTGCCAGGATTTATAAGTAAGCAATGTTCTGAAGCTGCTCTTACGAAGGCATTAAGATCGTTGTTGATTAATAAACATGCATTTTCTACCATATGTTGAGGAAAACTATGATGAATCTGCGTGTCGTCTGCATATAGATGTACATTACAAGTTTCAATCCGTGTTAGAAGATGCGATGAATAAATTGAGAATAAAAGCGGTCCCAGTATAGACCCTTGTGGCACACCTGATCTCAACGTTAGATAGTCTGAACTTATATTATTTATGCATACTTCTTGTTTTCTATGTTTGAGGTAGTTATTCATGAGTATTATAGAATTTCTGGAAAAACCTATATATTGCATCATATTCAGTAGTAAGTCATAATGAATCGTGTCAAAAGCTCGACTGAAGTCTAACAAAACTAATAGTGCACAATTACCTTGATCGGTAGCTTTGATGATGTCATAGGTTATGTTATTACTAGATCCATATGTAAAACAGATGATCTATTGAAATTTCAGTAGAACTGGCAAACCTGCAGCAGCCGAAAAGTGTCTGCAGACAAAAAGTAAGTGTCTGCGGACAAAAAATACATGCATTTGTTAATAGTCGGTTTCTCGTTTGAAAATTAAAACGTTAAATGTGTTTTTTTGTAGAGGTCGGCGAAAAAATGGTTTACTTAAGATTTCAGAATGGTGAACTTCAACTCATCGATTTTGAGGATATTATCGATAGTATTGATATTTTCGATATAATAGATAAACCGATAATATTTTATTTGAATTCTCATCGATATTATCGATAATTATCGATATATCGATGAATTTGCCCACCTCTAATCGGTAGAACTCATTTAGAACTGGTCATTATTTTTGTTCAATCGAGAAATTGTCATCAAACATCAGGACTGCTATGACCTAGTAATTCTTTCAAGTGGCAATCTTGCACATGAATTTTCTCGAAAATTTGAAATAGAAAATGGTACTTTGTTGGATTGAACATCAGAGTATACAGTGTGTCCCACTTACCATGCTCACCATGGGTATCTTTTTAACGGTGAGAGATACGAGGTCGGTTAGATGGCACCAAATGTGGAGTTTGTCAAGGCCAACTATAATGTGGAAAAATATTTTGATAAAATCTATTCGTTTTTGTTTTATACACAAAAAAACAGATTTTGATCATTTTCATGTCTACTCCGTAACTTCTTTATTTATGAAAATATCCAAATAGGAATTTCACATTCTCATGGCAGTTTTCCGAAATGATTTCGAAAAAAATATGAAATTTATACCAACTCATCTAGAATTTGAGATATCAGCACCAACTTTAGTTTTTCAAATGTAGGTCATAGCTGACTATGACTTAGTTACAAATAACTTCTTTTTCTCTCACAGATGATATGTCGCAGTAATAGTTTTGGGTTGATAACAACGGAGTTATCGTCATTTATACAAAAACAAAAAATTATTTGAAAGCCGCCATCTTGAATTCATAAATCTTAACAAAAAAATCATGATCTCCGACCTAAGAAACCCCCACTCACCAATTTTGAATGGATTCGGACCAAATCTTGTCCGCCATCTTTGAGCAGCCATTTTCTTTAATTTCAACAAAAATGACGATAACTCCGTTGTTATCAACACAAAACTATTACTGCGACATATCATCTGTAAGAAAAGAAAAAGTTATTTGTAACTCAGTCATAGTGAGCTATGACCTACATTTGAAGAGCTAAAGTTGGTGCTGATATCTCAAATTCTAGAAGAGTTTGTATAAATTTCATATTTTTCTCGAAATCACTTCGAAAAACTGCCATGGGAATATGAAATTCCTATTTGAATATTTTCATTAATAAAGAAATTACGGAGGAGACATGAAAATGATCAAAATCTGTTTTTTGCGTATAAAACCAGAATGAATAGATTTCATCAAAATATTTTTTCACATTATAGTTGGTCTTGACAAACTCCACATTTGGTGTCATTTAACCGACCTCGTATCTCTCACCGTTAAAAAGATACCCATGGTGAGCATGGTAAGTGGGACACACTGTATATGAAGTTATCTATTCAGGTTGGGTTATTGGAGGTTAATGATTTCTCAATTTGAAACAAACAAAAGGCGTGGTGTGTCAAGCATTCATCTGTACAAAATGACCCATAGTTCGATGTTCACTTTTAAAAAGTACAATTTCCTATTTCGAATTCTCGACGAAAGTGAAGAAATGTCATTCGATAGAATTACCAAGAGAAATATGAAATATGATTCACGATGAATCAAAATTTCGGAGGTTCCATCAAGAACTAATGAACGTGTTTTGATTTCATTAGGTTTCTCGCAAAAAATGTCATGGATCACGTCACAAGATGTCTCGTGCGCCGCCATTTTGAAATCAAATATCCACTTGTTATATGTCATTGAGAAAGAATTTCTCCGCTCCATCAAATGGCGCAAAAGTGTATGTATTGGTCTCTTCAAATTTCTTGACCAAGTTCAATTTCCGGTAAAACCAGAAGTGATATACAATTGTTTTTTCATGGACAATATGGGTTATGAGGAATCACTGTTCCAAATTTCAAAATTCTAACATAACAAACAACTGCATGACACCCTGTCCAATAATCTCGTTGTCACCAGGTATTTTTATTATGTTAATGTCTGTCTTGTGTCAGGTTACCATATGTAATGTTTTTACAAGGATCATCGAACTTGGAACAATCTTGCGATGATTGAAGAATCTTGTTCTAGGTCGCGAAGGTCTCGAGTCCTCCACCCTAGAGCTGGGGTTCGTCGCCGGCCACGAGCACTTGAGACGAGGCAACATTAAGCTGAAGTGTCTGACCACCATTGAGGTTAGGTTTTTAAACTCATCTATAGCAACCATAAACATTCAAATCTATTCGAGCTTCCTCTCTCTGCCTTCCATTGTACCGTCTAAGAAGCAGCTGGATTCTACTTACCCCGTTCAGAGCTAGATTCCGAAGAGAAAGTATACTCGTGTAGGAACTGAACATTATCATTCAACAAGCTGAAGAGTTTGGCCACCAATTAGGTCAGGTTTCCGACCCCATCTAGCAACCTCTTTATGAACGTTCAGATCAATTCCTGTCTGCCTTTCTGCCTACCATCGTACCATCTGAGTAGCTGCTGATTCAGACGAGGCAACATGAAGCTGAAGTGCCTGGTCACCATTCAGGTCAGTTACCCAGTAACCTCTCCATGAACGTTTAGATCTATCATCTATCCGTATTTTCTTCCTCTCTGCCTACCATTGTACAATCTAAGTAGCGGCTGGACTCACCTACCTATCAACATTGAAAGAAAAAGAACAACCTTCGGACTCAATGGAATATTCATGTGATAATAGGAGTATCTTGTTCGAGGTCGCGAAGATCTCGAGTCCTCCACCCTCCGGCTGGAGTTCTTCGCTGGCCACGAGCAATTCAGACGGGGAAACATGAAGCTCAGGTGCCTGGCCACAATTTGAGTTGGGTTCTCGACGCCATCTAACAACACCTTCGTGAACATTCAGATCTATTCGTATTTTCTTCCTCTCTACCTAGAACTTTACTATCTTCTGAATAGCGACTAGACTCTGCCTACCTCGTTTCTCATTCAGAGCTAGATTCCGGAGAGAAAGTACTTGTGTAACAAACACTACCTTCAAGAAGTAGTAGGAAGAGAACAACCTTCGGGCTTAATAGATTGACCATGATCGCGATAATAGGAGAATCTTGTTCCAGACTCAATGAAGTAACCCCCGGGCTGGAGTTCATCGCTGGCCACGAGCACTTCGGACAGGGCAACATGAAGCTGAAGCTAGTGTCTGTCCACTATTGAGGTTAGGTTCCCACTAAGTAGCGGCTGATTCAGACGGAACAACATGTAGCTGAAGTGCCTGGTCACCATTCAGGTTAGGTTCCTAGTAACCTCTCCATGGACGTTAAGATCTATTCGTATTTTCTCCCTCTGCCCACCATTGAACCATCTGAGTAGCGGCTGGCCTCTACCTACCTTGTTCAGATCTAGATTTCGATGAGAAAGTACTTATTGTGTAGGTACTAAATACCATACCTATGAAAAGAAGTAGAAATAGAACAACCTCCGGACCCTTTGAAGAAACCATGTGATGGAAGAAGGATTTTGTTCCAGGTCGCGAAGGTCTAGAGTCCTCCACCCTCCGGCTGGAGTTCTTCGCTGGCCACGAGCAATTCAGACGGGGCAACATGAAGGTGAAGTGTCTGGCCACCATTGAGGTTATGTTTTCAAACCCATCCATAAACCTCTCCATGAACATTTAGATCTATTCGTATCTACTCCCTCTCTGCCTACCATTGTACCATATTAGTAACGGCTGGCCTCTAACTATCTCGTTCAGAGCTACATTCCGAAGAAAAAGTACTTGTGTACTAAACATCACCTAATAAAAGTACTTGGAACAGAACTACCTTCCTACTCAATGGAATAACCATGGGATAAAAGAAGTATGTTGTTCCAGGTCGCGAAGGTCTGGAGTCCTCCACCCTCGGGCTGGAGTTCGTCGTTGGCCACGAGCACTCCAGACGGGGAAACATGAAGCTGAAGTGTCTGGCCACCATTGAGGTTATGTTTTCAAACCCATCCAGAAACCTTTTCATGAACATTCAGATCTATTCGTATTTTCTTCCTCTCTGCCTACCATTGTACCATCTAAGTAACGGCTAGACTCCAACTATCTCCGTCAGAGCTTCATTCCGAAGAATAAGAACTTGTGTACTAAACACCACATATTAATAGTAGTTGGAAGAGAACAACGTTCGGATTCAATGGAATAATCATGTGATAAAAGAAGTATCTTGTTCCAGGTCGCGAAGGTCTGGAGTCCTCCACCCTCGGGCTGGAGTTCGTCGCCGGCCACGAGCACTTCAAACGGGGCAACATGAAGCTGAAGTGTCTGGCCACCATCGCCACTCTCTACCTGGTGAGCAACGAAGAGAGCGTCGAGGGCGAGCGCCCGCAAAGGGCGTCGGTGATGGAGAGTCGGGGAACGGCAGCGCCCTCTGGATCGAGAGCGGATAGAGTGCATGGTTAGTACAATCCTCAGAGAAACTAGTGTTAAAGGTCGTGACACGAAGTGAAAAAATTAGAAACGAAGGATAATGAATACAAAATTCAGAACAGGAAACAAAAAATGATGATCCCCACACATCTGATTTTATCATGAAACTCACAATACATCATGACGAAATTTTCATTCCATATTCTCATTCCTGCAACCTTTCGACCAAAGAGAACAGTGTATTCTCTCAATTATCTCAATATAACACTCAAGTATATATATAAGTATATAATAAGTAACCTATTACTATTCATGATGATACTTTATAATTATTGTTGTCTATATATGTCGATTATCAAAAATCCATACAACAATAATCATTGGATCAGTATAATAATACTGAAAAAGAACATTCTAGATATATTATGAACATGAAAAAGATGGATTCATGCGCTCCAAGAGGTACAAAAACTTTACAGGGCGATTCATTTGGAAATGCGCATACAGTAAGGTTAGATGGAGGACACTGAGGTGCTTCCGAAAAATCTATATTTCATGAGTCTATCATTCTTCATACCAAAACACAGGGTGATTAATTTATTTTCCCCTTTTTTAAATTAATCATAACTTATGAACCACCCTATACATTTTTGTGATATTTGGTTCATATAGATTCCAGGACCGACCTTGAGAAAATTAATGAGTAGATTTCAAGTCGAAAACCACAGGAAAAAATAAGTTAGACTGGTTGTATTTGGTGTTGATGAGATGGCACAAAATTCAAAAAATATTCCTTATTCTCCTAATTTTTTGATCCCAACCTGATTGAAAAACGAGAGGATATGTCCGTATTTGGGACAAACTATTATTATCAAAGACAACTCCGAATACCCTGTAGGTGTAAGAAAATTATCGTAACATTTGTTCATTGCAATCATTGCACTACATCTGAAACAAAAATTATAAAAGTGAGGAACAATGCCAATTCCGATAAAATCATTACTCTCTTTTTAAAAACAAATCAACATTTTAAAGGTTGAAACATAACAGAAAATCAAAGAACTAGAATCTTTTTCATCCGCGTCTAATCATCTTTTTAGCTAGATCATGTTTCTTCATCTCTTGGGGCGGACGAAAGGGCATCCCTATAATGTTCGGAGAACATCGTGCGTACTTTATGAGGATAGGGAGAGGAGGTAGGTATTGAATTTTTTTGGAACTCCTGGAGATTATAACTTCATGGAAATACTTCCATTGGCAAGAAATTCCAGAGATTTGCCGTTATATAATAATAATAATAATAATAATAGTTTATTCATCGAATAGATACATTTGACATTAATCAAGCAATAACATTTAGGTACATCCGATAAATAAACGCAATACTCACGAAGCTGATCCTCAGAACATAGGTTCTAAGGCCAACTTGTGTGTGAGGAAATGTAACAGGTATATTACAAGGTAGGTATAAATATAAATAAAAATGTATATATATCGAACAAGGGTGTAAATAGTAAATTAAGTTAATATACATGGTGAATATAATTCAGATTATTGTAAATAGCATTTAACCAGTGGGTATTCGATCTGGGAGTGCAAAGCAAGATCCTTTTTTGGATCTATATAGAATTATTGTGTATTTGTGTGTATAATTGAGGAAATGTCATATAGTTCACTTGGGCGTAGGTTTGTTAATCATTTCTCTATTAATTCATGGATTTTAGTTCTAGGGATAGTTCCAATGTATTCTTTTGCCCATTGTTTGAATGAATTCAAAGAAGAAAGTTTAGCTGCGGTATCAGGTATCATATTGAAAATCTTTGGGGACAAATACGTATAGCAGTTTTGACCAATTCTTTTATTCATGTGGGGTGGTATATATCTGTTTTGCTGTCTTGTTCCATATCCGTGGTTATATGTTGTGAGTTCATAGAATAACGATTCGATTTGTTCGACATATCTCAAGGATGATGACGAAGGAATGTGCTGACTGGACTTGTCAAGTTCGTGTAACTGGTATTGCTAGTGATAGCATGATGGAGATTTTTTATGCACATTTCCCGTGGAAGTATCCATAGAAAACTGAAAGGTCGCCGACATTTTTTTTTATTGCTTGGAGCGCACGAAAGGGAATCCCTATAATGTTCAAAGAACATCGTGCCTTCCTAGGGAGGATAGGGATAGGAGGTAGGTATCGGAATTTTTTTTGAACTTCTGGAGATTATATGTTGTTGGGAATACTTCCTCAGGCAATGAATTCCAGAGCCTAGCGGTTCTATGGATGAAGGAGTGCTGTTCGACATCTTTCGAGGTTGACAACGGAAGGATGTGCTGACTGGGCTTGTCTAGTTCGTCTGACTGGTATTGCTAGTGAAGGGATGATAGCAGAGATTTCCGAAGAACATTTCCTGTGGAAGTATCGATAGAAAAGTGAAAGGTCGCCGACCTTTCTACGGTGTTCCAATGATGTCAAAGAGTGAGTGAGTGTGGCGTCACCCACCAGGCGGATGGCTCTTCTCTGGATGGAATCTATGAGCATCAGCGTATGTTTTGGTGCTGAACCCCATATGTGGGAACATTATTCTAGAACAGGCCGTATCTGCGCTTTGTAGATAATGAGGAGCTGTTGAGGTGTGAAGTAGCTTTTACATGATTATCCCATGAAAGAGTGTTGCTGATGAAAATACCGAGCATAGATATGGTGGGCTTGGTGGGGATGGTGGTGCCAGACATCACAATGTCGGGCATACTGAGTTTCTACGGGGTTCCAATGATGTCAGAGAATAAGTGAGTGTGGCATCATCCACAAAGCGAATGGCACTTCTCTGGATAGAATCAATACATTCCTCGGCTCTTCTGATGCATTCTTGATAATAATAATGAAATGAAGCAGTCCGTACGTACTTTAGGTTTGATATCCCAAATTGTTGTCATAATTGTCAAGTTGCCTGATGTCAGAGTACAATTTTGACGTTAGTTGATGACTCTAGAGTTCGTACATGTGTTGTTTATCGTCGGACGAAAAACTTTCTAGTATTTTGATTTTCTGTTATGTTTAACCTTCAAAATGTAGATTTAGTGGAACGTTATTAGTGGAGTAAAATCCACCGAAAAAGTCGCTCCGTTCTCGAAAAAAAATTTTTCAAGGTATAACCAGTTCCGACCTTCAAAATATAATGAAGTACATATTTTTCTATCAGAATATCATTGGACGACATTTTTGAGTGGGGACGAACTTTTTTATTTAGAAAAAACTGAAAAAATAAAGAATTTTCTAAAACACAGATTTTGAAATATATCTCCTCGTAACTCTAAAACTACAATAGGTATGGAGATCATTTTTTTTTCAATAGAAAACGAATTCTTTTCTGCATCTCACGATGGTATGATTACAGTATAAATTATCATCAGTTTTTTGTTAATTGATTGAGAACGCCAGATATCACTTTTCATGATATATTTTTTTCAACAATCGACAAACTTTTTTCTTGTTGATTTTTTTTGTATATATGCAGCGAATAAAATGTTGACAAATAGTCATGAAAGTTTTTGAAATAACAGAAATTTGTATATGTAGTATAGTTTTCGAAATATGATTTTTCAAAGATGTAGGTACGCATGGCATGAATATGCCTTTAGCGACAAGAGCGTGTTGGCGCGACTATAGAGCGTAGTTATAGGTTGTAGGGCAGTATGCAACAATCTGTTGAAGATGCAGTGTGTCATTTGCAAAAAGAGTGTATCATATAATGATAAAAATATTACAAAAAAATCCACGGATACAAGGCCTGCTCTCGTTATTATCAGCAGCGGAAAGAAGAATCAAGAAATGATATTTGTGTAGAATGTAGAAAAAGTTACACCAGCATGCACAATATTCAAATATTGCCGAATTTCACTGGTTGTCAGAAAAATACAGAAGCGGGACCATCAACTCGGAATGCAAATGTCATTTTTGATATTGGAAGAATGTGTATCATTTGTGATAGGGGCGGAAAGAGGAAACATCAGAAATTAGTATCTGTTCAAACAGGTACCTATGTGAAAATGTTTTCGAATTATAAGGACATTCGATAATATTTCATTGAGATCTCAATATCATTGAAGATTGAAAGAATAAGGATAATATCATTATTCAATAATATTATATATTTTGAACAATCTCGAAATAATTTTCATTTGAAATTAACGAACTTTAGAAATCTCATTATTCATTTGCCATATCAAAAAAAGCATACTATGAGTAGAATATCAATTATTATGAACTGATCTGAATGTCAATCATTCGGGAAATGAGTATACATCATGTCGTGACGATTTGACTAAAAATATAGATATAAATAGGACATGTTTTATTTTTGAATTATAATGTGTAGAAATATTCAAACCCAAAATTACGAATTAGGATGAATACAAAATTATGATTTATAGTTGATTTTATTTAACGATAGCATGATTTTATTTAACGATAGCCATTTTAATAAATGCTATCGAATTATAGGAACTGAAAAGAAAAGTTTTGATAAAATAGTTGACTCAGCAAAGAAACGGAACGATATAAATATGATTGGGAAAATTTCTGGATATTTGCTCATGATGCAAAAAGTATCACAAGTCTTGTTACAGTCAATATATTGCCCCAAGGAATATTAAATCATTTATAAATCTGTCGAAACAGAAAAAACATCATCAATTATATCACCAAGACATTCAAGGAAATAGTGAAGAAAATTTCGCAGAACAATTTAAGTCATCAGGATCCAGTAGCTCCAAAGAAGAATCCGAATTTTTCAACGATTCAAACGTAGAATCCGAAATGCAAATTCTTTATAAAGCTGCAGGAATAATAAAAAAACACATGGCAGAATTTCCGATACCTAACACATTTCCAATCAATTATTTCTAGATGTATATATCAATTGAAAATATGGTATTCATCCCTTTTACCATATATCCCTACTGAAAATCCGGAAAATTTTTGTTGGAAACACGAAAACGATTGTTGGAAGCCTGTTTTTACTAAGCAGG